AGTGACATTTTTGCAAATATACAATCTTAAATGATGTTTTTACAAATATTCGCATTAAAAGTGATATTTTTGCAATTCCGATCAAGGATTTAAAATGACTGGAGATTTCTTTATTACAATGTCCGACCAACGACGATAAATCACAATCGATTTTTTTTTTAAGGAGCGTTCTATTAAAAAATTGGAAATTTTTTTCTTATTAAAATGTTCGACCAATGACGATAAGTTGTTATAATGTATCAAATTAAACGAAGCTATTTATGATATAAGTGGAGAGTCGTTGACAAAAGAAACCATTTACTATCTGTGAGAAATTAATAATGATCCTACTGATATTTATTTCTCAACGACCTTGTCTATCTAGAAATTAATGGTTGGCACCCGTAATTAAAGCTGACAAATTATCTGTTCAATTCGATCCGATTCAGTATTCGTTTTTATTCGATCTGAAAAAATTCAAATATCTATTTTGAATCAAAACGAACCAAATAGTAAAATTTAGTATCCATCTAAACCAAAACAAATTACAAATACTAATTTTAAAAATCTGAATATCCAATCCGTATATTACTTATATATCCATATAATATGGTATATTTATAACGTATATTTATATTTTTTACTTTTAAATATATTTGGCAAATATATTTATAGTAAAAATAGATAGATACTAACTTTTTTAAAATATATTTCTTAAATAAAAAATATATTTTATTTTTCACCGTTTTAGTCTTTCACTTTTCATATTTTAAACAATTTATCGAATAAAATTAGACATGTTTTATATATTTACTGATTAATTATTTTAAGTCTTATATTAACCTTTTTTTTGAAAAAATTTTTATGGTGTTTTTAATTTTTACAACAAATATCCGCGAAGATCCGGATATCCACAAATATCTAGAAAAAAATCAGGATATCCGTCATCCCGGATATCTAAAATTTTTTGAAACAAAGCAAATCGTAAAATTAGATATCCGTCAAAAACAAATCGAATCACAAATACTACATTTTTCTAGATATCTGATCCGTGCTCAGGCCTATTCGTAATTAGAAGACAGAACCCATGACAGACGACGGTTTCTCTTAACCATGGTTAGATCTTTAATAAATATTTTATCCGTTCATTATACGTACTCTCTCTATTTCTATTTATCTGATGTTTTAAAAGAGAATTGTTTTTTTAAAAAGCGATAATTTTTAAAAATGCCACATGAATTGTGTGGTATTTTTAAAATGGTCATTTTAAAATTTTTTG